TAAAAGAAGATGTAAGGTGTTTTAATTAAATTGTTTTGTTAAAACAAAATGTGCATATTTAAAAACTATATTCGGTAAAACAGAATTTCATATATATAGTTACAAATTTAAAAGTTGTTTGGATGTAATAGTCCGGTAGTTTCTGGGATGGAGGGACTATATATTCAGTTTTAGACAAAATATAGCATCCATCCATTCTGGAATTGGTCAAAAAATTCTATTGTGGAAACTATCGAAATTCGGAGTACAAGTCTCACTTAGTGAAAATATTTTGTTAAATATTTTGAGAAAGATTGTGAAATCCCCGCTTCATATAATTTCATTAACCTAGCAAATTTTCCCTTTTTTTAATTAAAATACAATTCTAACTCAGAAGAAAACTTTTTTTTTTTTTCATGAATCTAAAAGAAGCTAACTACTACGTGGTTTTCCCATCATTTAATTCTTTTTTATTTAATGTTTTTAAAAAAGAGTCTCTAACAGTCACCGACCATTACAAGAAAAATCCAGTTCTCTTACTCATGGATTTCTTTTCATATTCTGTTGAAACAAAAGTGGATCTGTACAGTTTCCGTACTATCTTCTTGTTAGAACATTTATTTATGTCGATTGAAGTGTCTCAAATTTCAATGAATTTGATATTGGAAGTTGGACCAGATTCATTGGTTTCCTGACTTTAAGTAAAAGAGATTGAACAAATTCTCTATTTTAGATAGTCTGTACCACTTTCTTTTTGCCAAATTATTTAAATAGATTAGTGCTGATATCAATTCTTTTTGTTCTAGAGTTCAAGATAAAAGAGTGATCTCTTGTTTACTGGATTGTTCTTGAAACTTAAATCTAAAGCAAATGGTCAAATAGAGTTTTAGTTAAAGAAAATTCAATAATAATATCAATCCAAAAGTTAGCTCATAATTAATGTGAGGATTATCCTGAACCATATAAAAAAATAATTCCTCGCACATTTAGAACTTGATATCTAGAGTGTGGACAACACAACTAGGCCAAACACTGATAAAAACAAGAAAAAAAATGGGTCTTGGTATGATTCCATGATATTAGATGGATATAGAGCCTAATTTAATCCAAAGCGCTCATGAACAGAGGAAAATAATTCCTCGCAGATTCAGAACTTGACATCTAAAGTATACACAATTTAACATGAAAATAATTCAACTCAAAACGCTCCTAATTAAAGTAAGAATTGCCTATGACCACGTAAGGAGGCAACAACTTATTTCTCCATCAATACTTAGGACATTAATTATATTTAATAGATAAAAAGACTCAACGTTTTGGATTTAAATGAAGAATATTAATGATGTTGTGTACTTTTGAGGCACTACGCGTTTATTCTTCACGTTCGTAGTACATGTGTAGCACCAACCTATCCAGTATCCAATAATGACGAAAATGTACAGTCTTAGTGCTTTTGCCTATAAAATTTCCCCTATTATCAATAATCAAGATTTTCTTTGCTAGTTAGCAATTGTAAAAAATATATACATGGGATAGACTTATAGTGGCAAGAAAACAGGCATAAACTAGTTGGGATATCAGAACCAAAAACTTTTTTCATTTATGTCATGTAGAAATAAGAACTTTTATCCAACAAAATGCGACTGATAATTAAGTAGATGCTCTGGTCCCGTTTGTGGATAGCATAAATGGTATTTTAAGAGTAAATTTCATGGATGGTCATTCAATTTTTGGTTTATTACGTAAAAGTCATTTTTCTTTTTCTTGTTACGTAAAAGTCATTCAACTTTGCGTTCATTACATAAAAGTCATTTTTCTTTATTTTGTTACACAAAAATCATTTTACTTTGCTCTAATTATCACGATAATCACTTTGACAAGATTTTATAAAACTTTCACCTGAAAAGTCTATTATGCCCTAGACATTATAAATCCTCCAATTTATGTAATACATTCTATATTATATTTTATAAAATATATTTTTACCTAGAAATTTTACTTATAACTAAAATAATTTTACATTATTTTATTTATTATTTTTATAATATATCATTACGTTTAAGTTTCCCATGATACTGAATTTGTTTAATCATATTCGAGCATGAACATATTTTCAAATATGAAAACGACAAAAAAATATTTATTTGAAATAACAAAAACAGATTTGTTTAACAAATGATAGTTTTTTATAGTCAGTAAAACTATTAATTTTTAAAAAAAGATATTTGAATTTACTATTATATTTTAAGCTTTATCTGTTGATATTATTTATTTAAAACTGTTAATCTGATGTGTGAGTTTACTAAATGTTGGTATTTTATTTATTGGATTAACGAATATGACTTGATTGATAAATCTGCGAGCTTTGATTTTATAGTTCTTATTAAAAATATTTCATCAGGAATGGTTAAGAACGTTGACTTGAGATTTGTTCATTATAAAGTTACTGACAAATTTAATAATGCTACCAATATATCTTGAAAATTAACGCTAAGGAAAAATAAAATGTACGAATATATTATAAAATAATAAATAAAATAATATTAAGTTATTTTATTTATAAATAAAATACCTAGGTAAAAATATATTATATAATATATAATATAGAAGGTATTACATAAATATGAGAATTTATATAATATCAAGGGCATAATAGACTTTTCAAGTAAAAATATTATAAAATCTGACAAAGGTGATTTTTGTGATAACTAGAGCAAAACAAAATGATTTTTGTGTAACAAAAAGAAAGGAAAATGACTTTTGAGTAATGAACACAAAGTTGAATGATTTTAACGTAACAAAAAAAAATGACTTTTGGGTAACAAACACAAAGTTGAATGACCATCAATAAAATTTACTCATATTTTAACCATTGTGGAAAAAAGAAATACAAAGAGAGAAGACCTAATTGGGTGTTTGTCTTTTGACCATCTAATTCATATATTGGAAAACATTATCTCGGGTAACCTTTCAAATTTGTTGACAATTATTTTTTTGAGCCGAAAATCTTTCGAAAATAGTCTCTCTCCTTCATAAGGTATGGATAAAGTTTACATACACAATATTAGGGGTGTACAAACCGAACCGGAAAATCGCACCAAACCGAATAGTCAAACCAAACCGATTAAAAAATTCGATTAGGTTTGGTATTACGTTAAAAAATTTGAACCAAACCGATATATAAATATATAATTTTTATATATATTTTTAACATTTTATATAGAAATTCTTTAAAAAATGTATAAAATATCTAAGATTCTCTTGAGGGATATAATATTTAATAAAATATGAAGTGCTCCATATGTATTAACCTTAATTAATGGGTTGTATCATGTATGATCACTTTCTTATCAAGTATTACTGAAATGCGTCAATCTCTTTGTACTTCCATATTCATTGAATATGTCAAGATCTATTAAATTCTTATATCTTTTTCGAATTTGAAGTGGTTATTATTATTTAGGTATCATATTGATTTTTATGTTCAATTACTAAATTCGGTTAACCTTTGAAGTGTACATCAACGAAAAATTATTGTCAGACGACAAAAAAAATAACTATCATGTGTTTCTAAGTAGATTCTCCCGTAAGAATATTTAATAGATAATATGTTTGTCAATTTTATTAATTTTTACCAAACATATATTTACTTATAAAAAATTTAACAAAGTAAGATTGAAATAATATTTAAATAACAAAAAACTCGAAAACCCGTCAAAACCGAACCAATCCAAACCGATATAGTTGGTTTGGTTTGATTTTGATAAAAATCGAACCAACCTGATCCATGTACACCACTACACAATACCCTTTATGGTCCCCTACATTAATATGGGAAACACTAGTATGTTGTTGTTGTATTATCTCGGTAACCTAAAAAGATTTTGTTTGGATTGAAATAAGAGAAAAAGAAAAAGTAACTATCATATTTACTATTTTGGATTCTGTTCACTCAAATTTAGTAGTCTTTTCTTTGGGGTAAGCTCTCCATTAGCAAAACTGCAATTAAACTTGTAATTATGTATTAAATCTAGGCATATTCTAATCTAATGTATATGAATATATCGAAGTACAAAGTCACATTATTTTACTAAATCCAATCTTAGAGGAGAAGTAAAACACATTATTTTCAAGAGATAAAAGTAATACTGAACGCAGATTTAGTACTCAAAAAACTCACCTACTAAAATGCAATAATATAAAGAGCCACGTGGCGGCACATAAAAAATAACAAAAGAATAAAAACAAATAAGAGGAAGGAAGTCAAGAACGACATGTGGAACACATTTGATAATCTCGAACTGATTCTGTGGGCCCCTTTTGAATACAAGCCCTCTATGATCATCACGTGTACCATTTCTTTGTTGTCGTTGTTTTTTCTCTTTTAGTTGTATTTGCTAAGAAGAAAAAAATTCAAATGTGTTTTGGTTAACGATTCTCTAGCCGTGATTTCTCTTATTCTATAAGTGAGAGTTAGCATGTCTGTTTAACTATATAAGGATATTTTTGAAATTTCATATTTTATCTGGTTTAAAAATATTGTACATGTTACCTTTATCGCTTGTACACGTTGATAAGTTTGTTGAAATTGCAGGGCCGTGATCTTAGCTTCATTATAGAATAAGAAAAATCTCGGCTAGAAAATCGCAAACCAAAACAATTTTAGTAGAAGCAGAAAGAGAAAAACAAATAAAGAAGGGACGTGATGGTACATGGAACTTGAGTCAAACGAAATTTTAAAGTGGTGGTTATTCATTTTAAGATTACAGTCACATCGCATAAGAAATATTTCATTTAGGTCAGATATTTAGATTATTATTTAGAAGGACATTTTTGTAATTGAACTTTTGACTTAACGTTTTCTCAATTTTACTATACTATAGATAGATACATATAGATGTGAAATATAGTTTAGTAGGTGTATCTTTTTTCGGTTTCAATTATTAAGTGTACGAAGGGAGTACCAAGTCACCAGTTGGTTAGTTGTCACTATTAATTATTCTGGTAGTTTTAAGGGGACTGCTTCAGGATTTGTAGTATTTGTTTTAGTGATATTTCCAAAATAAAAAAATGGATGGAGCTCTGCAACTTCCGATGGTTGATCTTAGCTCTACAGATCGCACCTTACTCGCTGATTCACTCCGCAAGGTAACCTCACTTTCTATAATTTAAATAGTTTCACACAATGGAGTAAAAGTTTTTTTTTTTATAACAGTGGTATCCGCACATTGACTAATTTTACCAGGTATTATTGCTATCTTCCATTAACACAGCTAGGTAACTCTGTCTATCAAGACTTTGACAAATCAGAAGAAATCATCTAGTGCTTATGCTTGCGTTGAGACCTAATAGTTCTGAACCAACTTCATTGACCAATAGGCAGGGGCGAATGTAGCATTAAATCTAGGGGTTTAATTGAATTCATAATTTTTGACACGGAGCATAAATTTGAGTAAAATTCACTGAGCATGTGTTTTGCAGGCATGCGTTGAGAATGGATTCTTTTACCTGATAAATCATGGGGTAGAAGAAGAGTTGATTCAACGAGTTTTCGAAGGGAGCAGAAGGTTTTTTGGTCTCTCACTTGAAGAAAAGATGAAGCTGCTTCGTCAGAATCATAGAGGTTACTCCCCCCTTTACTCTGAGAAGCTTAATTCTACTGACAATCCCAAAGGTAAATTATTTCTACTTTCATCCTTCAATTTCTACTTGATTGAGTTTAAGCTCTATGTAAAATATTTACACAATTAGATCATTTATTAGGTACTGAAAAAATTCTTAAACAAATCTCTTCTCTAAGGGTCCTTTAAAAAAGTCAAGGCTAAAATTGGAAATAAATGTTTATCCCAATTAATCTAGTGTAAAACAAACCATATGTTTTATATTATACATTGTATATTCTATTTTTAGTTCAATGAATCAAACATTGACCAATAAAAGTATATCCAATAAATAATCCCATCATTACTCTCTATGTTATAATACCAACATTATTATCCCGATATCAACACCCCTAGTCCATAAACATTTTATTTTTGTTTTTTGTGGTAATACACGCAATCTAATCTATCTATATTCATATATTATATTAAAAGCATGAATACCCTTAGCGAAATGCCGTTCGGTTTTTTTATCCTTTAAAAATAGAGTTCACACTAGGCAAAACAGTCATTTATATTAATTTCTTAATATTTAGGAATAATTATTTAATTAATTCCCTAATATTTAGGAATAGTCATTTAATTATAACCTAAATACTTAGGACTTTAATTTTAGCTAAAATTTGGTTAATATTTTTTTCCTTATTTGAAACAGGTAAAAAGTTCTCATATTTAGAAATTCAAAAGCAGTATATTTCTAATTACAAATATGGTAGTCAATATTTATGATTTAAAATGATTATGCACGATTAAGACATGCACTTTCGATATTCTGAGTTTGTTATTAAACTAAGACAAAAAAAAGGTTGTTAACTTATCAATTTCTAACTCAAATAAGGATATGATAATAACAAAACTATCAATTTGTTTGACATTGAATGTATTTTATTCGTAGACAAAATTTTATGCATTAAATTCTTTCTTATGTATTTATGCAATTTTTTTCTTTTTTGAATTATGTAACATAATAATTTATAAAAGACATTTAATACCATAAATTAAACAATTAACACAGAATAAGTAAAAAGTAGTTATTACTTATTGTATGTTTGAATTACTCTTTGGCACATAAATATAACCAATTAATTTTATCTTATTAAAAAAGAAATTAGAGAAAGACAAAGTTAAAATTATAACGGAAGTCGATAAAGTCGACCGGCATTTCTTCGATTTTTCTTATTCTTAATTCTAGATTTATTATCGAATGTAGAATTCCCATAAATTTTGCATAATTTAATGAGAAATTTACACAGAATACAACATATTTAAAACCTATTTAAATAAGTTACAATTGCTTTTAAAAAATTACATATTATATAACTTAATTTAAAACATACAACTTTTCATATTCCTAATATATATCTCTTGAGATTTTCTCACTTTCATTATATCTCTCTCTTGAGATTCTCTCACCCAATTAATTATCCTTACAAAAACGTATGCTCCTTTTTATTTTTTTCAAAAAATTACCTTCTCTCTCCTCTAGTTGTGTATATGATTATAGTATATTTGATATACCATTACTATATGTAAAGAACTATATTGCATATATTTCGAATAAATATAATATATTAATATACTCAAATATTATAGCAATATGTTAATATCTTATTAATCTATTATACCAGTATGATATAGCAGTATGTTAATAACTAATAAATATAATATATTAATATACTCAAATACACAAATATTATAGCAGTATGTTAATATCTTATTAATCTATGGTACATTAATTATTATATATTTAGTATCGGTGGATATATATTCCATATATTTTTAACATATATGCAGTATACTATATTAATCTATGGTACATTAATTATTATATATTTAGTATCGGTGGATATATATTCCATATATTTTTAACATATATGCAGTATACTATATTAATCTATGGTACATTAATTATTATACTTAGTATCGGTGGATATATATTCCATAATATGTTGTATATTATATATAATTGNTATTTCATTATTTCTTCACTAAATATACAGAACAATGAGTTGTATAATTCAATATACTATAAGTCTTAAGAAAAGTTCAATGGTATATGCTATAAGTAACATTAAGTTATCTTTTTTGAACTTTCAAAAAATGAGGAGTATTATGGCAAAGAGCAAGAGAGTTATATCTGGACGCAAATTACTCTCTGAATGAGGTAGAGTTTAATGGAGAGAGAGAATAAATATGTTACAAGTTCCAGTAAGATTACCCCTACTGCTTTGGATGGAAATTATCCGTATACGCTAATTTTGGTTATGCCCAATTATATAGGGATTCTCCCTACTTTTCAGCTTTTCATTATATAAGTAATTTGACGTGTAACTTGTTTAGTTGTACATTATCTAATAGTATCTAATTTGGTTGTAATATATTGTCACGACCCGAAATTTGTCACCGACGGGATCGTGATGACGCCTAACATTTCACTTGTTAGGCAAGTCAACGTTAGAGAATCATTAACCAATTCCTTATTTCCATTCAGTAATTAACAATAATTAAGTAAGATGAAATATATTAAGTGCGGAATATCATAAAACTATATTAATTACTACCACCCCAATTCACGAGCATTCTAGAATTTACTATAAGTAATAGTCTGAAAGAAATACAACTGTATAAATGAAAGAAACAGTAGAACAGAAAAGATAGACGGGGACTTCAAGGTTTGTGAACGCCGACAGATCTACCTTGAGTCTCCGGACAGCGGACCAAATCTGCATAGAAAGTACAGAGTACAGTATCAGTATAACCGGCCACATGTACTGGTAAGTGTCTAGCCTAACCTCGATGAAGTAGTGACGAGGCTAAGGCAAGGCACCTACAAATCAACCTCTACAATTTAACAGTGTATATACAAATAACAAAAATAAAGAACTAAACATGAAATGTCGGGAGGGAAACATACTGAGAGGAATACAAGATGAAAAACTACAACAGAATATTTACCGGAGTAGTCAATATACCATGAGTCAACAGGAATAGTGAATACAATAAAAAAAAATGCACGACATCACCCTTCGTACTTTTACTCTCAATCTCACCATAAAAATCAATAGAAACGGCACGACATCACCTTTCGTGCATTAACTCTCATATCATGGCACGACATCACCCTTCGTGCATTAACACTCACAATATGGTACGACATCACTCTTCGTGCATTAACACTCACGATATGGCACGGCATCACCCATCGTGCATTAACACTCTCCCTTACCATAATGCAATACATAAATATCAACAGGGAGATAGAATAACAAGTACAAACCTTACCTCAATATTTGGTTCCATAACATCAATCTCAACTTTGAAATAAAAACTCAATTATTACCAGAAAATCCGTAAACATGATAAGAACGATAAATTGAACAACACTAGTATAACACATTGCAATTACGCATAAGAATGAGACAATATAAGAAAAACTGAGAAACATGGAAAACAGGTAAATTGGTGGCGCATAAGTACTCGTCACCTCACATATACGCCGCTCACATGAATTTCACTTAGCAAGTAATCTAAGGTTCCTAATTCCCTCAAGTCAGGGTTAGACACAATACTTACCTTGCTCCGAAAGCCACTAAATTCTCAATCACAGCTTTTTCTTTGGAATTCACCTCCAAATCACTCGTATCTATTCAAAAATGACTCAATAATATCAAATATTGCTAAAGGAATCAGTTACATTACATAAATTTAGATTTTCCAATTTATTTCTCCAAAAAGTCTAAAATCGACCCCGGGCTCGCTTGGTCAAAACCCGAGGTTCGGACCAAAATCCATTTACCTATTCACCCCCGAGCCCGAATATATAATTGGTTTTGGAATCCGACCTCAAATTGAGGTATAAATCCCCAAATTTCCGAAATCGCTAGTTTCTACCCAAAACCCCTAATTCTACCAAGAAAACCTTAGATTTTAGGTTGAAATCTTGTAAAATATAGTGAAAGATTGAAAGAGACAGTTGAGAATCACTTACCTATGATTTGGGGATGAAATGGTCTTTGAAAAATCGCCTCTTGTGTTTTAGGTCTTGAAAATTTGGGAAATGAATGAAAATTCCCGTCCAAAAGTCATTTTGATCAGCTGCAGACGTCGCATTTGCGACCTGAGCTTCGCAAATGCGATTCCCTTCACAGTCTCGCTGCCTTCGCAAATGCGAGGAAAGTGTCACATTTGCGACCACTGAGTCTTCGCAAATGCGACTAAATGATCGCATTTGCGATCACTGCCCTTCCCCAACTCCCTTCGCAATTGCGAAAGAAAACTCGCAATTGCGAGAACTGCTCGCCTAGGCTTTCTTCGCAATTGCGATAAAAACCTAGCAATTGCCATACCTGCTTGATTAGCATTTGCGATGCCTGATCTCGCAATTGCGAGATCAGAGGCTTGCAACAAGTTCAGTTATACTAGCAAAAATTTTCTAAGTTCAAAACATCCCGTGGCCTATCCGAAACTCACCCGAGCCCTCAGGGCTCCAAACCAAACATGCACGCAAGTCTAAAAATATCATACGAACTTGATCGCGCGATCAAATCGCCAAAATAATACCTAGAACTATAAATTTAGTACCAAATCAAATGAAATTCTCAAGAACACTTTAAAATTTCTATTTTCTCAACTGGACGTCCGAATCACGTCAAATCAACTCCGTTTCTCACCAAATTTCACAGACAAGTCTTAAATATCATAATGAACCTATACCGGGCTCCGAAACTAAAATACGGACCTGATACTAACAATGCCAAATATCAATCAATTCTTAAAAACAAATAATTTCCAGACTTTTAATTTTCATCAAAAAATCATAACTCATGCTAGGGACCTCCGAATTCAATTTCGGGCATACGCCCAGGTCCCATAATTCGATACGAACCTACCGAAACCGTCAAAGCACAGATCCAGACCTGTTTACCAAAAATATTGATCGAAATCAACTAAAATCAACTTTTAAGGCAAAAATTCTTATTTTCATTAGTTTTCAACATAAAAGCTTTCCGGAAACCTGCCCGAATTGCGTTATCATAAAAATTCTTATGATTGATTCTCTCATATATAATAGAATATCTATTATCTTTTGACCAAACACGCCTTCTATAAAATTCATGTTATCAAAATGTAAAAAAACATTCTAATAAATACGATAATTAGATATAAATAGCCTAACTTCTACAATTACGATACTCTCTTACTCAACATCAAATTTAATAAGTACTTTTAAAATGACACATTATAATTGCACGTGTGGGATAGACACATAGTTGCATATACTCTAAAAGTATGGAAAATGCCTCTTTTCATTTATGTATGAAGTCATATTTCGTAGGACTTTAAAATTGGTTAAAATTAGTTAGAAATGGTTACTTAAATATGTAGAAAGTCCTCTTTCGACCAATATTATTTTCATAAACTTATATTTTTCTATTTAATTTTTATTTTATAACTCAAATATATTGGTGAAAATGTTGATGTAACTTTTTAATATTATATACTCATTAATGTAGGTACACGTGCAAAGCGCATACCCTTACCCTAAGACTAGTTTTATTGAAATGCAGGTGACCCAAAAGAAAGCATCTATTTTGGAGCACCTGAAGACATGTCACCCTATGGTAATCTAAATCAGTGGCCTTCCCAAGGTATATCCATAGATTCTCCTGCTCCCTTGTTTATTGACAAAATTTTAATGTAGCTTTTTAGCTTGATTTAAGAAGCATATGCACTGATTCACTTAATATGTTATGTACTGATTCACTTAATATGTTACATTTGTGTTTGGGGCTTCTAGAAATTCTGCCATGTTGGAGATCTACGATGGAAGAATACTACCGAAGAATTCTGTAAGTTATCAACTCTCTATAAGTTACTTGCATTTTGTAAGCTGTTGTAAAGAAGTTTTGCACTATCGTTGTGTTTTAATCTGTTGTAACAGGCAACCTGCCTTATTTCCCAAGCTACTAATCTACTTTTATGTACGGTTGGCTGTAATTATCTTTTAAAATGTCATGATATTATAATACTATCAATGTATAGAAGTTAAACTCGAACAGAAAGTAGATTAAGCACAACATAGACTTGTCACATACTTTACTAGTCAGGTATAATTTTTTTTCTAATTGATTAGCCTATTTCGGTTTTGATCGATGCTCAGGTGGGTTGGGAAAAGAGTAGTTTCACTCATGGCTGTAGCGCTAAATGTGGATGAAGATTTCTTTGAGAAAGTTGGTGCATTCGATCCACCCACTGCTCTTCTTCGCCCCCTGCATTATCCAGGTATGTTTTTTTGTTGTTAAATGAGAAGTTTAAATTGGAGTGTTTACTTATTATTGGCTTCACTTCCTGTAAAATGCTTTCGAGATAAATGAATAGAAGAGAAAATTATACGTGTTGTGTGGAACTATGGAGCCACAATAATAACATAAATCAGTTTATTTTACGCTAATATTTACAGGAACATATATATGATTGGGGCATATTGTTTCCCTCTTATCAGTCGCAGGTGAGATAGACTCTTCTGATAAACATATGCATGGCGCTGGAGCTCATACAGATTGTGGAATGATTACTATCCTAGTGACTGATGGTGTTCCTGGACTTCAGGTATATACAACAACAACAACCCAGTATAATTCCACTATTGGGGTCTGGGGAGTAGGGTAGTGTGTACGCAGACCTTACCTCTACCCTTGGGCAGAGAGGCTGTTTCCAATAGACTCTCAGCTATTGAAGGGTGCTTACCACTAGAGCAACCCACTCTTGTATATGTTAGATAGAAATGATCATGAATCGACAAAGCGGTAATTTTGTATAGTATTGATAGTTTTGTTTTGAATTGGCTTCTCTGTTTATCAGGTTTGCAGGGATAAGTTACAGAAACCACAGATTTGGGAGGATGTGCATCATCTCAAAGGGTACTTATTCATTTTAGGATTATCGTGTGGTGTGAAACAACGAACATAACTTGCATGATCAATGTTTCTTAACCTTAGCAGTGTAACTAGTTCATAACTTTAACATGAAAATTGTCAATTTGCAGGGCTCTCATTGTTAATATTGGAGATATGATGGAAAGGTGGACAAATTGCTTGTTTAAGTCAACATTGCACAGAGTGACACAGCCAACACAGGATCGATACTCGGTATTCAATTTCTTCCTCACTGAAATCTTCTTCATCCTACTCATGTCATAATGTTCCTTGAAGATAGCGGAATGCCAAAGAAGAAATGAAATTACTGTAGTAGTTTCTTGATATAGTCAAGGGCGGAGCGCAAGAGTGTTTAATTGAATCCCGTCAGTCGCAAATTATACTACGCAAATAGGGCAAAATAATTTTTTTGAAGTTATTTATAAGCTGTTGAATCCTCTTGATGTAAGAAGATTCTAGTGCAATGGGAAAAATGGTTTAAAATAAAAATTGCTTTAGGTCACTGGTTCAAGTTCTAGGTGTGACATTCTGGTTTTTTTTTTCCGCCCCCTTGTATGTGGTTTTGCATGACCATTGATAGCTACAGTCTAAATGAGACATTTCAGGAGATGTGTTATGTTGATTTAGGTTTATTTGGAGTTGAAAAATCTTCATTGTTTTCTAGGGAGCAAAAGATATATACCACTGTAAATGCGGTAAAATATACCTAGTTAATAGGACCCTTAAATTAGGAAGGAGGAAGTTATATTGTGGAGATTTTATTGAGGTATTCTTATTAATGTGTTGGTTTCTTAAGAATGAGTGATCTGCAAAAACTTACAAATCATGCTTTAAAAAAACAACAGGTGGCTATGTTTTTTGATCCAAGTCCAGATTGTGTTGTGGAATGCTTGAAGAGTTGTTGTAATGAGTCTTCTCCCCCTAGGTATTTACCACATTTCTGAACTTGCTAATGTGTAGGTTTTCTCACTAATAGTTAAGTGTTCCTCTTTTGAGATTCTAGATGCTTCTTTTCTTTAGTTTCTTTTCACTTTTTTAAAAGGGTCAAAAATGCCCCTATCGTTTGGTAAATGGTTTAAGTTTACGTTCCGTCCACTTTTTGGTTCAAAAATACACTCAACGTTTTCTGTGAGCACCTAAAAATACCCCGACCCCGCGATTAACGGAAATTTCGGTGATCCCTTTTTTAATGTGTTGGCAGCACGTAACTGGGCCACGTGGCCCAATAAAATAATGACAGTGCATTAAAAAAAGGACTCACACATTATTCCGTTAGTCACAAGGGTATTTTTAGTCCAAAAGATAACGTAGAGTATATTTTTGGACCAAAAGGTGGATGGAGCATAAACTTAAACTATTTACCAAAGGATAGGGATATTTTTTGGCCATTTTCAGTACTTTTTATATTGGAAGTATTATTATAGTGATGTGCCATCAGGTTTCCTCCAGTTCGTGCGGCAGACTACCTAAAGGAGACCTACAAAGTTACTTATGGCGACCAGTGTAAGTTTATGCTTGCTCTAGCTTGTTGATGTGATAAATGTTCAATTTTTTATTGGTTGAACTTATCCGGATTTGCGTCCCGTAGGTTGACTAAAAGGGGTAAAAATGCTCTCTACCGAAAGGTTCTCCATTCCAGGACTAGAACCCGAGATACCTGATTATAACGGGTGAAAGAATTACAATCATCCCATTACACCCCTCAATAGTGATAAACATTCAATTTAATTACCTTATTATTTGGTTACCTTGGAGGATTGCTATGTAGCAATATATACGTCAGTAAGTGAAAAAGCTTTTTATTTTTGAAAACAAGAAAAAGGCTTCTACAGACTACAATTAAAGACGACAAGAATAAAGACTTCTTGACTGACAACAGAAGTTTGATATGAATATATCAGATGTGATCCAGTTGATCATTTTATCATTCAACTTAATATAAATTTTTGCTTACAGCTTGTTTGTATGGTTGTTACCCATTGTTACCCAAGGGTACAATAAAACTTATGGTTTCAACCATCAAAACTTGAACACTCGACCTCGAAGTCCTTCTATTTTGGGTCCACCGCCGACCTCCTTCTTTCCTCCTATTGTTTATTGTCAACTTTGCTTTCGCCCCAATCACTCTGCATGTGATTGTCCTTCTCTTACCCCTAAGGCATTCTTATGAGATATTCAACTGAATTCCTCCGCTTCTTATACGACTCCTAGTGATGGTCATTGGTTTATCGATACCGGAGCTTCCTCACATATGACTCCAACTGCTGCAAATTTATCATCTGTTACTCCTTATCAGGGTAATGATCAGGTCATTGTAGGCAATGGTACTCAGCTTCATATATCCTTTACTGATCATGTTATTCTTTCCACTCCATCGTCTAAGTTTTCTTTAAATAATGTTTTAATTGTTCCAACTTTCTCTGCCAATTTGCTCAGTGTTCGGAAATTTGTTTCTGAAAATAATTGTACAATTGAATTTGATTCTTTTGGTTTTTATATCAAGGACTTCAAGACTAGGAAAACACGTCTCAGTTGCAATAGTCATGGACCCTTGTATTATGGCTCTTCTCCTTCCAGTGGTGTTGATGTTTTCTTCTACAGCTTTTGCCGCAATTCGTGCTCCATCCTCTCTTTGGCATCGTCATCTAGGCCATCCAAGCTCCATAGTTTTAGATTATTTAGTTCGAAATAATAAACTGTATTGTTATTCTTTCAAGCGTTTTGATTCATTATGTATTGCTTGTCAGCTTGCCAAGCACCAAAAATCGCCATTCAATAAATCAAGTTCCTTTACTTCTTCTTCTCCATTTGAATTAATACATAGTGATATATGGACTTCTCACATCCCATCCTTTACTGGATTTCGCTACTATATTCTTTTTCATGATGATTTTACCAAGTTTTTCTGGGTATTTCCTCTGCGACAAAAGTCTAAGGCTTTCACTATGTTTAAGAAATTTTACGCCTTCATTTCAACTCAGTTTTCCACTAAAATAAAAAAGTTACAATGCGATGAGGCTGCTGAATATGTTAAACTTAAATTATTTCGTTCTTTTCTCAATGATAATGGAATTTCTCTTCGAATCTCTTGCCCTCATACCCACCAACAAAATGGAAAGGCTGAGTGAATGCATCGCACAATCTTGAATATGATTCACTTTTCCAAGCCTCTCTCCCCTTTACATTTTGGGTAGAAGCATTGCACACTGCAGTGTATCTCCTAAATATTCTTCCTACTGCTTCTAATCATCACAAAACACCATTTGAATTATTATTTGGCCGGTGTCCTACCTATGATCATTTACGTGTCTTTAGTTGTTCTTGTTATCCTAATCCTCGTGACTATTGCGCAAATAAATTAAGTCCCCGTTCCATACAGTGGGTTTTCCTTGGTTATCCCTCTAACTATAAGGGTTTCCGATGTTTTGATCCGTTAAGTAATAAAGTCTGTATCTCAAGACATGTTCGTTTTGATGAGAATTCATTTCCCTATCCACGACCTTTACATCCAAATCCACAAACAATATCCTCAAATATTTTTGCACATAATCCGCTCCAGCATCCCAGAACTACTGCAATTCCTTGTGATAATTCTTCCGGTTTATATCCACCTACTTCTAAACTTCATCTCATGGTTACAAGAAAACAAACTGGTTCACTTAAACCTCGAATTTTACCATCTTTAATATCTCATATTTCACTACTTCCACTAGAACCAAACTCCTTTACAGAAGCTAACAAATCGCCTCATTGGAAACGTGCAATGGATGAAGAGTGCAATGCTCTTATATCCAACCACATTTGGGATCTTGTGCCTCCACTATCTAATGCTAATGTTATTGGCTATCGTTGGGTTTATAGAGTTAAACAAAAGTCTGACGGGTCTCTTGAACGTTACAAAGCGTGACTTGTCAAGTCGCTCTAGGTTACAATCAACAACATGGACTAGACTATGATCAAACATTTAGTCCAGTGGTGAAACCAGTCACCATTCGTATTGTTCTCGCTATTGCTGCATCTAAGAAATGGCACGTCTATCAATTAGATATCAAAAATGCCTTCTTGCATGGCACTCTTAATGAGCTGGTATACATGAAACAGCCTACAGGCTTTGTTCATCCACAATTTTCACATCATATTTATCGGTTGAACAAAGCTCTTTATGGTTTAAAGCAAGCCCTACGGGCATGGTTTAAACGTTTTACTTCTTTTATTGGTCTTCAATATCTTACATTTACTCGTCCAGATATTGCATTTGTTGTTACTCAAGTGTCCTAGTTTATGCACTCACCTTCGCTAACTGATTTTACTGCGGTGAAACGTATCCTACGATACTTGAATGGCTCTTTGACTCATGGTTTATTCATTCCTGGTGGTTCTATTGATAGTTTGTCCTGTTATAGTGATGCCGATTGGGTTGGTTGCCCAACCACTCGACGATCTACCTAAGCTTTTTGCTTGTTTCTTGGTTCTAATCTTGTTTCTTGGTCTTCTAAAAATCAGAGTGTTGTATCTCGCTCTAGTGCGGAAGCAGAATATAGATCAGCTGCTCATGTTGCTGCTGAGATTACTTGGGTGCAATCTCTTTTACGAGGTCTACATATGCCTATTTCCTCTCCATCCACTATTTTCTGTGATAATATTAGCAACATTTACTTGGCTCACAATCCTGTCCAACATGCTCGTACCAAACATATTGAAATTGATATTCATTTTGTACGGGAAAAGGTTGCTTCCGGAGTAATTCAAGTTCAATATGTCCCTACTCAAGACCAGCTTGTTGATTTATTAACAAAGTCTCTTCCATCTCCGAGGGTGTTGTTTTTGCGTGACAAGCTCAGTGTTCTTCCAGCCCGTGCTTTGCTTGAGGGGGAGTAATAAACATAAAGTATAGGATAGACATACAATTCAAATTATTTTAAATTATTGTTATATTTAGAGTTATCTTATATTTTAGATGTACATGTACTCTATATATATTTCATTGTACTTCTCAAAATATTTCATCAAGAATAGAACTCTTTCAGTTAGTATAAACGTCGGAACACATAGAGGATTGGCGACGATTTGACATTTATTTGTTTTGCTGCAGAAATATGTTGAATTGGCAACAAAAATAGCACCAGAAGAAAAGATAAGGACTGGTTTATTCATCAGTTTTCTCAATATTCAGGAGCTTTATGTGTAAAACATGTAGTAGTTGTATTATTTGTAATATTGTGAAAATAATAAGGAGACATCAAGAATTGAATGTGATTGTAAAAGTATCTTTCCATCTATTCTGAAACATTACAACTTCAATGGAAATTAAAGAACATTAATATCCGACAAAAGCCGCCGGGAAATCACTCGTTTTAGAAAGTGATAATATCACGCTTCGATCCTTCTATTTTCATATATTATCATTAGGAATTTGTTAGCTGCTATTAGAACTAATCTATAATTAATAAAAGCTAACATAACATTTGTAATTGTTGCAATATCTAAGATGGCTTTCTTTTCAGATCCTAAATCCAGATTTTGTCTTGGAATACTTTGTGAATAATTTTTTTCAAACGACCGTTGCAATATCTTGTTTTGAGTTAGTTGCTTGCTTGCTACAACTACAAGTATGAACAATATACTTTTTATTTTATTTTATTTTTTTTAAACCCCTCCAAAGGATCTATAGTGTTTCCGCACTTTACCTTTGTGATTCGAATTCAGGACCTACCGATCGTGGATGGAAGTATTTTTACCAACTGAGCAAGCCTCACTTGTTTTAAACATGTTCGGATAACTTTTGCAGTGTTTATTCCAGGATTCCACTAATCCCTCCTTCGGAAAAAAACAAAAAAGTAAAAAGAAGGAAAGTAAGAAGGAAAATTTGAGGAAAAGAAAAAGAGTATGTGATCAGCTTCATCAGAATCTGTCAACGGGAGCATGCACGAACGGTGTACCTGACCTTAATTTGCATTCATTTTTTTATTACTTTTGGAATTAGTCCACCAAATGAGAATATAGCAATGGTGATTCTATTTATGTCTGTGAAAACAAAAAGTGAATTAGCACTGTAACAACTAAATTTTGCTCTTAAAAAATAATAATCAGGACAAGAAATATAACGATAAATATTATATTTAATTTCAAGTGATGGGGTTACAATCTCTAAAATATCTCAAATCTAAAAAGATGTAGTCCTCTGATTCTTCTCCTCACGAACAATGGCTCAAGAGCTTGAGAGCTTGATTTTGAACTTGACGGATTTCAGATTTTTAGTACGTCGCGAACAATTTGAAGGTCGTCACGAACTAGGATTTGGGGTTATCACGAACGGAAGATTTGAAGTCGTCCTCCAATGATTTGAGTTCGCCTTTGAAATTTGACCACAGACGATTGCAGATATGGAGGGAGACCTTGATGTTATTTTTCAGAGCTTCTTTAGTATTTCCTTCTCCTTAGTTGATGTACTTTCAGCCTTAGTGATTTCTTCTCCCTTCAAACGAGGGGTGTGGACTCTTTATGTAGGCACGTGGTGGAGTAGCCCCCAAGAAAATCCTCACGGGCCATTGGGCTTGGAGCTTTATATGGGTCGATCCATTCGGTAGCCCAATAAAATGGGCTAGTCCAATAATATTGGACTATTTAAATCAGTTTAATTAGATTTAAATAAATAACACAATTATACTATTCCAAAATATTTGATTGGACCAATATATGATAAAATCGAAATTTCTTATGGATTTAAACTTAGTAAAATTTTAATTGTCTACAAACACAAACTTAAATACATACTTCAGAATCTATTCTTTAACTCAGAATTCATGACATTGAAGTCCAGCATTTTTGCCATTGGTTATTGCATCTAATTTCTAGCATAAACGAAGACGTAAGGTGTTTTAATTAAATTGTTTTGTTAAAACAAAATGTGCATATTTAGAAACTATATTCGGTAAAACAGAATTTCATAAATATAGTTAAAAATTTAAAAGTTGTTTGGATGTAATAGTTCTGTAGTTTCTGGGATGGAGGGAGTATATATTCAGTTTTAGACAAAATATAGCATCCAACCATTCTGGAATTGGTCCAAAAATCTATTGTGGGAAACTATCGAAACTCGGAGTACTCACTTAGTGCAAAATATTTTGTTAAATGTTTTGAGAAAGATTGTGAAATCCCCGCTTCATATAATTTCATTAACCTAGCAAATTTTCCCTTTTTTAATCAAAATAAAATTCTAACTCAGAAGAAAACCTTTTTTTATTTTTATTTTTCATCAATCTAAAAGGAAACCAAGTACGTGGTTTTATGGGAGGACCTGACAGTTTTTCCCATCATTTAATTTTTTTTTTAAAGAATTCCATTACAAAGAAAAATTCAGTTCTCTTACTCATGGATTTCTTTTCATATGCTGTTTAAAAAAAAAAAAAAAAAAAAAAAAAAAAAAAAAAAAAAAAAAAAAAAAAAAAAAAAAAAAAAAAAAAAAGGATCTGTAACAGTTCTGTACTATTTTCTTGTTAGAACATTTATTTATGTCAATTGAAGTGTCTCAAATTTCAATGAATTTGATATTGGAAGTTGGACCAAATTCATTGTATCCCCTACTTTAAGTGAAAAAAACTAGTATATAATATTCAGAAAATATTATAAATGAAAAATAGTAAAGACATATGATACTTCTTTTAATTAGTTTTGTCTTACCATTCAAAAAAACTAATTTTACATATAGCACTGATTCTAAGATGGAACTTTGTCTATGCAAAAGTGGATTTCTTTTTTTTTGCAATCGAATAGATAGTTTTTTAAGTAATACATGTTTGAAAATTCAATAATATATTAATAAAATCACAAAAGTATGAATATATTTATTAGAATTAGAACCAAGATGAACTGCATATTTTATTATCAAGGTGTAAGGAATATTAGTAGACGATTCTTTCTTTATAATAGTGATTTGAAAATTGGAATGAAATGAGATCGTTCGAAAAGTATTTTTTCAGATTCTATTTAAAAATATAGATTGATATTTTTAAAAAAGTTTCAATATTTTGATTTAGTTATTTATTATTAATTAATTAAGAAATAAGTTATATATGGTTTTTTTGGTTATGCCATATGGCTGAATTAGTTAATAGTTAATTAGGCAATACGTTACATGTGGCTAATTTTAAGGGTGTCACTTGGCTCAAGGAAAGGGTTTTTTTTTACTTCTTCTTCTTCTTCTTCTTCTTATTATTATTATTATTATTATTATTATTATTATTATTATTATTATTATTATTATTATTATTATTATTATTGTCAATTAATGATGATTAGAGAAAAATAAATGAAAATAAAATAAGTGATAAACATCCATATTTTAATTTGAATAGAGTTGAGAGCTACTCTAATCTTAACATATAGATTCAATTTTTTTTACATTTCATTTAAAAAGAATAAAAATTGTAATTGTTTCTATAAAATTGTAGTTAGATTTTATTGACTATGAAACTTTAAATATCCAATAGTAATTTTTTATTTCTAAAATTATTTTTAATATTGTCCTAAACTTGAAGAACCGACGAAAATATAAAAATCAATTGCTGCGATGTACTCCATTTGAATGGATAACAGTGATTTGAAATTGGGGGAAAAATGAGATCGTTGGAAAAGTTTTCTTTTCAGATTCTTTTTAAAAATATAGATAGATATTTTATTAAAATTTTCAATATTTTGATCTAGTTATTTATTATTAATTAATTAAGAAATAAGTTATATGTGGCTTTTTCTGGTTATGCTATATGACTGAATAGGTAATAGTTGTTACATGTCCTAAACTTGAAGAACCACAGAAAATATAGAAATCAACTGCTGAGATGCACTCAATTTGAATGGATAAAAGTTATTTGAAATTTGGAGTAAAATGAGACCGGGGGGATTTTTTTTTTGTTTTAGATTCTTTTTAAAAATATAGATAGATACTTTATTAAAATTTTCAATATTTTGATTTAGTTATTTATTATTAATTAATTAAGAAATATGTTATATGTGGCTTTTTTTGTTATGCCATATGGCTAAATTAGCTATTAGTTAATAGTTAATTATTTAATACGTTACATGTGGCTAATTTTAAGGGTGTCATTTGGTTTAAGAAGAAAATTTTTTAAAAAACATTTTATTAATAGTTTGTTTACTCAAAAAATCGGATAACGTTAAATTTAGATATGGTTCTAAGGGTGTGCAAATTTCTTTGATACAAAATGACGATACATGTATTTTTTGCTATGAAATGGGAAATGATGGACGGGAAGACTGAAAAATATTAGAAGAACAAGCACCATGCCCTCCTGCCCTATTGCAGTCTATCTCCCTTTTTATAGTAGAGGGTCACTACTTTATTTGTAATAACATAATAAAATAATACATATAGTGGAGGACCCATGATGGTTTGTCTCTGCCTTGGTTCCCGCCAAGATTCTCTCCCTCGGTGCGGTTGTAATGGCTCTTGTCTGCAAGCTTAGCACTGGCTCGAGC